ATTACCGCGCTTTTTGGTGATGTTATAAAAATGCCGAAAGTAAGTGTTTAACCATCGGGAATATTTTTCCCGCAATTTGTATTCATGAACTAAGTACTGATTTTAAACTATGAACATAATAAATTATCCATAATTTATACATTTTTAATTTTTAATGTTTTTGCAACTAATTTTAGTATTTGACAGCATTAATAACATGAAAATATTGATTATTAATAATTATATTTATAATTTTAAAAATATTCAAGACAAACCTTTAAAAAACAATACAAATAATCATTAGGTTTTGTAATAATAATAATGGAAATGTAATTTACTTAAATACCTAGTTAAGAGGACTTCGTGTACCTACCCGCAAATGTTTTCTCCGTTTTACACATGTATGTATTTCTATAAGATGCTGTTAGTTTTGATATTAGCACATAATAAAATATTAAAGTAAATTGACCGCTTATGAAACTTTTTGCTATGAACATTATAATAATATTATGTGTTCTCTCGTTGACTTTTTTACGGCATTTTAATTTTTAACCGAGTTATGAGTGTGTAAAATATTAATATTCAAGAATACTCTAATTTCACCTAAAAGTATAGTGTTCGGAACGTTCACTAAAAAAATGAACTCGTTCACGTTCATGTTCAGTACTTAAAAATTCAGCTTGGCTAATTTTTCCTAGCTAAAGCTTATTTTTTTTAAAATTATTATTAAATTAATATTAGCTATTGCTTTTACTTTGTTTTGGATTTATTTATACTTTAAATATGCATTGCTATACATGGCATAAAGTCACCTATACGACAATGGTCAATGTCATTTCCGGAAATAAACTACTATTTTCAATGTTATTGTGTTGATTTCCATAACCCATATGCATATGTCTTTAAATTAATTTAATAATATGATCAATATTAATTTTTATAAGCAATTAAACACATTAGGCATATTAAAATGCCAAATTGTCAACAATCAATACTATAGACAAATTATAATTTATAATACCCGAATACCGTTATAATATAATTTTTGGAGTCAACTGGCCGACAATTAGTATTCATTTAGAACCATGTTTACCTACGTAATATTTATTTTCTGTCCAGAGATTAGCAGAGTGATATGGACGACTGTCGTCATAATGTCATATTTCTATAATTTAAACCTTTCATTATTTGTACGTGTTAACACGAAGTTGACAACATATTATTAAACTGCTATCGAAATAGTATTAATTGTCAACGTGTACTGAGAATAATTATTGATATACGACTATCTGAGCTACGAGGCATAGGTACTTCAATATTCGTTTACCCTATATTACATACTGAACTTTTATATACAAAATCATGTTATTTATTCTTTAAAAATCCATCTGTACCCTACTACCCTGTATCTCTGTGATGTGTATCGGTTCATAAATGTCCCTGATATAAAATGCATAGGTATAAGGTATTGCATAGAATCGTCTTGCAAATCGTCAAATGCAATGATTTTTTTTTAATAACCTTTTGTTTAAAATTACTTAATATAGAATACCTATTTATTTTTAAATACAAGGGTCTCTCTTTTGTGATAGATGTAAATACAGATTTGACAAAACCTAACATTTAATAATTATTTAATACCAACTCGGTAACCCTTAAAATCAAAAAAGCACCTATTATATGATAAATTATACTTGCTAAGGTTATTTATGAAAGATTTGGTTTTAATTGGTACATTTTTTAAGGGTATATGGAAACAACTCTTTTTTGTGTTAATATTATAGGTATAAAAGGGACATATGTCACATATAATAATGATTTACTACCTACTAATTATTATTATAATTATATATCAAGAATTTATGATTTTTAATTTATGATATTATCTGGATACATTTTCTAACTAAGATGTTAGCATATTTTAATAATATAAAAATCTCCATCGTAGTATACAACTCGTATACAATATATTATATATTACCTATATTATATTTATTGTCATTTAAAATTGAATTGTATACAATTTTCATACATGCAATTTATACAAATATTTTTACTTTTTATAATATGACATTAACTACCTACATAAATGACTGTCTCCGTAAACAATGGTTATTGTGGAGACTAGGGTTATTAAATAACTACTTACACTTGCTAAATAGAATAATTAAATGTTTAATAATAATTAAGTCATTCATAATTAACAACTTATAATACTATTACTAGTATAATGTTTAGATACATATACAATTATAATAAAACTATAACGTTAGTAGTTAATTTTTTTAATTTTCATTTCTTTTATACAATTTAAAGATTATAAACAAACTAACATCTATATTTGATTCCAGCATAAATTGGGCTTATTTTCCAAATTTAGTTCTGCACATAGGAATTAAATACAATATATTAGTTGGTTCCACTCTTGTATAATGGTCATGTTAGAATTTAAATGATATAAATGAGTACCTACTGCCGTGAATAAATAAATAAATACTCTTAAAACCTATTGTATGGATATTAATGAGTATAAACAATTCATTTATGTTTTAAATTTCATTAATTTTTTAGTTATAATTTATAACTACTTGATTTATTTTCATTTTCTTTTTCTTTTTAGGTGTATTATTACAGATCTGATGTGGTTGGTTCTGACTTTACAAAGAAGGCATACACCTTACTCGATGAGGGAAAACGAGCTTCAACAACGGTCATACATTACTTTGGCTCAATTGATGAAATTGTAGAGACCTCACACGGAAACCGAAAAAGCAACATTGTAATACCACATGTTATGACAACGAAATCTGAAGTACATTCACAACAATGTGATTTGAATAGATGACCTAGAAATAAATAACCCACTAGGTTCCCATTCTACTTTTCAAGCTGTATAGCTGTCTTTCTTTTTAAATTTAGAATAGATCCCACGATTGTAAAGGACACAAACAACAGTAAATTCCATGTAATATAACAAGGAAAAAAAAACTTAATTTGATTTTTAAATTATTATAATTATGGATGTGAATATACTTTAGTAAAATATATTGTTTAATGCATTTTAAACCTAAACAATTTAACTTTATAATGCAACCTACAAAATATATCCTTAAAAAATATCGAAAAAATTGATATAGAATGAAAAATTGAACTAAAATAGATCAAAAAATCTTAAAATTTAAAAGGGTAAGTGGAAGTAACTCTGCTGTAAATTGATTTATTGTAGTAGGTGGTGTTAAATTTGAATTAAATTATATAAAATAATTTAATACGAGTGCGTATTTTATATAATTTTGATTAAAATGATTTATTTTACTTTTAAGCATTATTACAAAAGTAGGTAGTATAACAATTACATTTAAATCGTAATTGTATGTATAAAATATATTAATATACACTAAAATTTTTATATAACCACAAATAATATTTTTCAATTAAAACAAAATAACTTTACAATAATAGTTATTCTTGGTGTAAATATGTATACACCTGATTTTATTCTAATTCGAACTTATATAATGTCTGTAAAAAATAACTAGTAATAAAAATTTAAAATTATATACCGGAGTGTACCGGAGATTTAGCCATAAATGTACAGCATAAAAATATACTTATATAATATAACGTTTCTAAACTAATAATTATTTTTTATAATGCGTAAAATACAATAATTTTTTTTAAGAATGCAATTTTCAGATTTTACAAATTTAATATAATATATAATATTTATGGCTTTATAGTATTTGAAATTAAAGATAGTTATAATGCGAGTCTACGTTGTTGATTTCTTTTAATTTTTGCCATTGTTCTTCTCAGTTCCAAAACAGTTTCTGTCTTTTCAACCTTCTATAAAATAAAATATAATTTAAATATAAACTATTTGAATAAGTAACTAATATACAGGGTTTTTCATTTAACTTAAGACACTCGTTCTTTCAGAAAATAAATGTTTTTGAAAAATATTTATTCACATAATATAAACTCGTTACAAAATAATTTTTTTTATAATAAGTATTATACCATAAGCATTTTAGGTTTTTTTTAACCTTTTGAATTTAAACATACATATTGATTTACATAAGCATAATATTATTTGGCGAATTTCCACGTTAATTTCATACGGATTTGTATGTATTAACCAACTATAAAGGCGCGATAAAATCTTAAAAATGCATAAATATATTAATATATTACATGCACTAAAATGTTGAAATATGCAATAAAAATTAATTAATTTTCTGAATGTTTAATTTAAAATTATTGAGCCCTACTATTAATAATTTTCTTGAAATATCTGTATTTTGTAGGTAGTTTTAATCTGCTAGAAAAATAGGAATCAATTAAGTGAACGCCACACGGATATTTGTTGTTTTCGTCCAACAAGTGCGTAACATAACAAATTTACGCACATCAGATAAAGTTTAGCTCTGTTAGTTTAAAAATTAGAGTGAATCGACCTCTTATGATACTTGATGGTAAAACATCATCTGTGTAACCAATAAAGTTCTTACCATAGTTAACGATACTTCCATTTGTAGCGAGTTATGCGTACATAATATAACGTAAATTAAAAAATGGTCATAACTCACTTCTTGAATACTGTAAAATCGTAACAAAAAAACACCATAAGAATACAGATAATGTTCTTACCGTCAAGTTTTGTAATAGGTCGGTTCTCTCTAATTTTTAAACTAACAGAGCTAAATGTTATCTTTTAAGCGTAAATTTGCTATGTTATGCACTTGTAAGAGAGAGACAACAAATGTCCGTGTGGCATCCTCTTAACATAAAAATGTATAGTTAAATAAGTAGGTATATTATTTTTTTATATATTTGAATAGTTGGCACAAGGTTATTATAAAAAATAACTTTCTTCACAATTACATCACTAGCTTGATAAAAACCTTTTGTATTTTGTGCACCAAGATGTTCAATCTTTTTTTAAACTAGGAAGTACAACTTACTTGGACATTATAGTACATTGTGAGGTTCTTTTCTTAATTGGTTCCGAAGTAAATGGACTACGAACTATTAGATGAATCATCAATTGTAAGGTCAGTTATCATGGAAATATTATCTGTATCAACTGAAAGGTTATTAATTTTCTCAGTCTTTGATTTCAATGTTGGATTTAAATTACAAGTTAAAATGTATTTTAGTAAGAATTTTTTACATAGTACCTAGCCAATAGTTTTGATATTCTTCTTCTGACTGTTCAGCAGCTCCATTATCTATCGGACTTATGATTTGATCTTCATGTGTAATCAATACAGGCATCTCATTAATTGAAACTGGTAAAACATCAGGTGCTAATGATTTGAAAAAAATAATTTAAATTTTAAATTATTATATAAATCTTGAATACAATTTTATTGTAAAAAAGAAATATGACATCAGAGAAAGATTATTTTAAAAGGACATTCCCAATTCATTAACTTGGATTAACTGATTTAAGTGAAAAATTACTATTTTAAGCATGTTCATCCAACAAAAATTAGTAGGTTTTATATTTTCCGAGGTCATTAAGGATAGATTTTTGAAAATTAATTTGGAACGAAATTAAGTCAAAATGTTTTAATGAAAAATTACATATTGCAAACGCAACTTAACATTATTATAATTTATATGTATATATTAATAAAAAGAAAAGGGAATTGTGATTATGAACTAGTGTTTTTAGTGTATGGGCTTGCTTCATTATAATTTGTTAATAAAACATTCTTTCTTTTATAAATTCTTAAGAAGTTTATAACATAATTAATTTTTTCTTTTTTTGTTATTACATTATATAGTAAAATAAATGAAAACTTGTATTTATCTAAACTACAATAATAGAATGCTAATTAATAATTAAAAGTTAACACAAAATAACAATTTATTAATATTTTTCTTACCATTATCTAAAAATAATGATGGAACGGCACCTGGTTTTAATCTATTCTTTAATTGAGTATTTCTGAAACAACCAGGTTCAAAATGAGTACTACAAACTCTTGTACCAGGTTTTACTATTTTTGCTGGATCTCTTTGTATTCCACATTTTTCTATCCACTTTTTTCTGAGCGTGAAATCCTTAGGATAGCCAAAGAAACTAAGATTCTCTGAATGCCTGTTAAAGCAGTTTTTAACCGAACATCGTAATCCAGATCCTATAGTATGGTCCTTTAAAATTAAAACACATAATTCATATTAAAAAATATATTAATATTAGCAACAGCTAGGTTGCCAATTATAAAGTACAAATTAAAAAAAAAAACGAGCTAAATACTTATATTAGTGATATAACAATCAATAGTCTAGTTTGTATGGAGTCTATATATTTAGGATGGTCTAAAGACTATTTTTTGTAGAAACTATAGGGTATAGATCAGGGGTGGCCAAATCACGGCTCGCGAGCCTCATGCGGCTCTCGTCACAGTCGTATGCGGCTCGCGGTCTTATTGACAAAAACCAAAATATTTTAATTTTTTTTGTATACATTTATAAAAAAAAATGTTTTTATTGTATTTCTTTAAGGCTATAGTATTATAGTGTATAGAATATAGATTAAATCAAACAAAAAAAAAATTAATTAATATGAATAATAAATTAAAAAATTAAACATTAAGCTAATTTTGTTTGCGTGGTACTTTTTCGTGTCTACTTTTTTAGTAAGCTTCTTAAGATCTGGTTGAATTGATGTAAGAGCAATTCTTAGTAATTCTGTAAGATGATCATCAGTCAAATTTGAACGATATTTTGACTTAATTATTTTCATTGTTGAATAAAGTGATTCACATGAAGACGTCGTTCCAAAAATTGATATCAATTTTACCGCACAGTTTTTAATATTTGGGTATTTTAATATAGAAATATGCTTCCAAAATTCCAATATATCTTTATTACTTTTGTGGTATAGAAGTACACATTAGATAATTTGGCTCTTGATAAAATTTTATTAATACATGTGGCTCACGTACATAGTCATGTTGGCCACCCCTGGTATAGATCCTTCCATTTCTATGTAACCAAAAATCAAAATAATAAACTACAGAATAAAATAGAATCAGAATACTACTCACTACTATAGGATACTTGATAACACAGCTAACCTTTCCCAACCGTTGCTATATTGTTCAGGTGTTAGCAAAGAACAATTATTGATGTTTACATTCAATGATTCTCAGTACCCGTTGGTCGTACAGTATATGATGCAAAACAAGTTGTGTGTACATATTTATTCGTATATTATGATATAATGAACATCCTATAAGATGATTATTTTCTTATATACACACAGCCTTGTTTGGACGTAATTAGCTGAACATTTTGATTTTATATTCTACAATCACACAGATCCCCGATTAATTACAGTAGATATTTCCCAACAAAACACTAGTAGTGGCTAAACAATATATCCCAAGAGTTTTCCAAAAAGTCTTCACACATTGGTGGTCAAACTACTAATTACTTTATAAATATAAGTGGACAAGAGTATAACTGATGTCTAATTAGAAACACTAAATTACTAAAAAAAAGAAACCAGGACATTGAAGACCCAGGCCCTACATAATATTCAATAAGGAAAGCATGGAAAATTATATAAAGGATAAAGACATCGGACTGTATTGACCATGTTTATTAAAAATATTAATACTTATTTACTCACTGACATATCCTCATTGTTTCTAGTAAGTCTAGAAGACCGCCCTGGTGATTCAAAATTGTTTTCAATAGGTTCCTCTCTGTAAAATTCAGTTTCCATGTAATCACTTTCATCATAATAATCCAATTTTCTAGATTTTTAAATATATGTAAAAACAAAATCTAGTCAAATACAATTTTCATTAACTCACCTTATATTATTTTGTTGAATGGGTAAAACTACATTATTTTGAGTAGCAAAACTAAATAAAAATAAAAATACTATTGAAAATGAAAAATAAATTATAAAGATCAAGAAGTATTACTTAGTAGGATAACCATTTTGATCATATGGTTGGGGAACAGCACCATATGATAAAAATCGCCTTTTTCCTGGTCTATATTGTTCTGGTAAAAAGTGATCACTACATATTTTTGGCCCATCATGACCACGATCAATTCTAATGACTTTTAACCATTTTCTTTTCATGTATTGATTCTTTGGAAATCTATATAAAAAAATTGTTAATGTTAGATTAGGAAAATAAACACAAAGTAGAAATTATTAGGCTAAACCGTTTCAAAATTATTTTACAGTATCCCGCAATAGGATAATAACCATGTCAATAATATGATTCAAAAATCAGCTTTGAGCAGGTAAATTTCTAGAAACAATTGGTACTCACCCATGATAAAGAACTTCTGGACGATTTACTCTGGTGTTACAAGATACATTACCGCACACTATACATTTATGCATTTTTAGTCTTTTAGAACTCATATTGGAACCTATATTATTATCAACAATTAAGAAAAAAAATAATTAATATAAAAGTACAACCAAAAAGACCAATTTGACAAGTCAGATGTTGAAGTTACCCTTATCAGTAGATAGTTATCAGTATTGTATTTAGTTAAAACTTCGAAAAAAAAAACTCGATCAATGGACGCGGTTAGCCTCGATCACTCAGTCTTGGAATGTATACGAAACCTGTATTCTAGTCTCCTATAGACCGATGTTTGTGTTTTGAGGTGTACGTTTTCTCGTGGTAGTTAATCCAGTCATTCACAGAATTCTTGGGTGATTAGGTATCGCGTGTCGTATTTTTCAAAGGTATAGTATGCTTTAAGTATAATGCATACAAAATATGTCTACTGCAATCTCGCCGAGTACCGTACAAAGCAGATGAACGCAACCAAGAAAATGATAACTTTTTGATTTCACAATCACAAATTTGATAAGATATTATTTGTATTATTAAGAATGAACGTTTGAACTTACCTATTTATTATTTGGCCAGACAAACACACACGGTAAAAAACAATAATATTCCGTCACGAAAACTACGAAAACAAAAGACAACAGTCAGTCTGTATAGATTAGAGACTGTCAAAAAAATTGACGATATCGAAATGTCGATATTTTGAGGAAATATATCGATTTTTAAATTTCGATATTCTGAATTTTCGATACTGTTGATATTTTTTGCGCATCTCTATAGGTGAATTGGAACTACAGGCAACAGCTAGCTAAATATCTATAAATCGTTGGTTTTAGAGAAACATTATCGAATATCGATAATGTAAAAATATATCGATTCGTTATCGGTTTGCGCATCCCTACTCCTGTAATCACGGTCTGGAATTATAAAACAATAACGAAAGCTTTGGTTCGTTCCATCGGTACATAGTTACAAACTACCAAATGGTCCCCAATAGTAAGATTCTGTTCGTTCTTCCATTGATTTTATAATATACAGATAAGCCATGCTGTATTAAATAGTGGCAACCGATTCCGTTCCGTCAGCCGCTGCAGAGCGCTGTTGTCGTTGCTATCAGGTCGGTGGGGAACTTACCTTGCCATAGTATCGGTTTTGGCGGGCAACCGGTGACGGCCAACGATATTGTTATTGAATATTCACGATATTTATTAATACATTTGGCGTCACAATATTATAATTAGTGTTTGAAAATTTCATGAAATTTAAAAAAATGAAGTATTTCGTGAAATATTTCATGAAATATTTCAAAATATGTGAAATATTTCAGTATTTTAATATATTTTGTTTTATTTTTAAATAAGTTTTATATTTACATATAATTGTCATAAATTACCTTCATCACTATATGGTACCTGTATGTATACCTAACCTTTGGTATTATACATTTAAATTGGTATTCAAAATTTTTAAATATTTTAATGTTTAAATGATACAAGTAGGTATACAATATTATACATGTATATTGTATACTTACTGAATTCTGACATTAGAATTTAGAACACTGAACATTGTGTTAAAAAAATAAATAAATTGTGTTTTTATTTGTGTTAAAAAAAATTTCAATGTTTCACGTTTTTGTGAAATATTTCTCATACTTCAAACACTAATTATAATGCCTATAATTATCATGATGACAATTGTATACAGTTGACTGTTGAACAGTTCACAATATCACAAATAGACATTCGTAGTATAACGTCTCAAACAAAATAATATAATATTGTTTCCATGTACCATACTATTTTATTATTTTAAATTTGAGATTTATATTTCATATTGTTTTAATAATGCCTGGTAATAAATGTCAGTATTTTAATTGCTTTAAAAATACTGTTAAGTATCCTATATAAGCATGTTTCGGTTTCCAAAAGACAGAATAATATCGGAAATCTGGGCAATAAATTCTGGTAAATAATATACTTACAAGTTATTATTAATTATGTATTTTAAATTCATTTTAAAATATTAAACTATAAAAAAAAAAATTACTAATTTGATTAATTATCACCAATTATTTAATAGGAAATGTTAGTTTACTTTCACTGGATGTGGAAAATCTATACAGTAGATACCTTTGCCAAGAACGTTTTAGCCCGGATGATTTTATTTTTATGTACGATAAAAAAAAAACTAAAACCAAAGGCAGTTAAGTTTAAATTTAATTCTTTAGTTGAAAATCAACCGTTTACGTCATCTGGTAAGAAATAATCATTTTAATATGTAGGAAAGGACCGGGATCAAGTGAGGCATATATTAGAGTTCACAGATTTTTATGATTTTTAATTTAAGATTCTGAGTGAAACGTTGAATGTATTGATTTTACAATGATGTGTGTTTCTTTTTTTGTGTCTATCATCATCTTTTAGGACAGTAAAAATGCTTAGATTTTCTTCAACAGTATTGTTTCTGATAGGAAAGTGAATCTAGTTGGTACTTTGGGGGTCAAAAGTAAAAATTTCCTAGTAGTTTTCAAAAGCGCCGTGAAAAACAAAAGGAAAATTATGGAAAACGGGAATTTCTACGCAAAATCTATTTTCGAGAAAATCGATTTTGGTTTTTGATGTAACTCTAAAACAAATAACCGTAGTAGGTACATGCAACTTTGACTGAATGTTAATATTAGCATTTTCTATGCACCATAAAATTTTGACTTATTTTGAGCTGTTTACGGACATTTTCAGTTTCCAATTGTTTTAGTTTTTTTTTCTAAAAATATCAATTAAATTTTATTTGTTGGTTAAAAAAGCTTGAAATTTAATAGAAGGCTCCTACTATATTGTTTCAAAGGCAGATGAAAAAAATTAAAAATCGCTAGTATCAATTTTTTTTTATAAGCATTTAAAGTTCAAATATTGACAAGAAAATGAAAGACGAAAATGTGCAAATTATTTTGAGTTAGAAATTCATAAAAATTATTCTTTTTAAATCTACGATTTTAAATCGTAATACAAGATTCCATACAAAGTTATCTACCTTTCCCCCCAAAAAAATGTCTATAAGAAAGTCAAATTAAATTTTTACGAGCATTTGAATTTCAAATTTGTACAACATTGGATATTCACTCGATTTTTCATGTAACGATTATCTTATTTTGTTGTAATTCAAAAACGAATAACCGTAGACACTTGAGATTTATATCATAAGTTTATTTTATCAATTCATAAACTTCCTAAATTTTCAAGGCTCCTGGTATATTGCTTAATTAGCAGTTGAAAAATATTAAAAATCCTTAGTCACGGTTATTTTTTATAAGCATTTAAAGTTCGAATTTTGACAAAATACGAAAAAATTACAAAAATTAGCAAATTATTTTGAGTTGAAAACTCATAAGAATTTTTTTTTTTAAATCTAAGATTTGATAACGTAATACAAGATTCCTCATAGGTTTGTCTACCTTTATCAAAAAAAAAAGTCTACAAGCAAATCAAATTAAATTTTTATGAGCGTTTGAAGTTCATATTTTTACAAGATTGGATATTCAATCGATTTCGCATGTAGCGATTTTGTTATAATTCAAAAATAAATTACCGTAGATACTTGAAAATTTTACTGAATGTTTATATTTTCATTTTCTATACACCATTAAATTTTAAAAATATTTTGACTCTTTATGAGCGGTTTAAGGGCATTGTCAATTTTAAATTATTTTAGTTTATTTTTTAATGACTATCAATAAAGTATTTTTTGTTGGTCCAAAATTGGTCCAAAATTTAATACAAACTTAGATTTAATTTATCAATTTTTTTTTTTTTTTTTTTAATGACAAATCGACTCAATCAAGATAAGCTTGAAAATTTATTTGGTATTTTTCGGCAGAAAGGGGGCTATAATAAAAATCCAACTGCAAGGAGTAAGGACAATAAGGACTTCTATTATAAGTAGTTGTATTTTTTCTTTGTGTGCTTCCACAAAAACTACCTAACTGTGAACCATCGCAAGACACAAATGATTTTATATCAATCGATGTAGATAAAATATCTAACACAGAAACTATAGTTCATCTGATAATAAGTTAAAGCGTATAGATGAAATTCAAACCGACAGGATCACCCTAGAAGATTGTTCAGTCACTTATTTTGCTTTATACCTTATATACAAATGTTAAAAAAAATTTAATTGCCATAATTGTCAGAATAGTTTACAAACTAATAAAAATTTAAATGAAAAAAGCCTACTGCTTTTAATAAATAAAAATTATTCTTCTTGTCAAAATGATATCGCACTAAAGGCACCATCAATTCATTTTAATAAAATAATTAATCGCGTATTGGAAATTTTTGAAAAACATTTTGATCAAATTCAGTACAAAAAAAAATCTTTTCAAATTAACATTAAAAATGAAAAATGATATCTTAATAAATAAATGGATAAATGAGTTTGAATCTTGTGTGGAACATAAATAACATATTATAGACTTGTTATTAATTTGTAAGATATTTAAAAAAAACTCAATCATATTCCACTACATCTCAATTAGCCAAAATAAGTAAATTAATGATTTTAAATTATATTTAAATATTTAGCTTTAAGCAATTTTTTTATTTACGATTTTTCATTTCAACAATATTTTAACATTTAACATTTTGTACTAAGGTGTATTAATTATGTTCATTTATATTTGTTTTTTATGATTAATTTAAATTTCGGTTATCATTATTATTTACTGTATATTATAAAACAATGATCATTAATTATTGTTAAACTGTTTATTTATTTATTGTTCCAATTTCATCCTAGTTACGAATGTTACGATAAGCTGCCGACTGCCGTGCCCGCATGTCTGTCGCGATGCCAGTCAATAAATAATAAAAATAGATTTTGATTTCATAGAAAATATTATACGAGTTCGACGCCAAACAGGTAACAATATCTATCGACAACTAAAATAAACAATATTTTGGTCACCGAAAACTCCTATGCTATGGCTTATCTGTATATTTTAAAATCAATGGTTCTACCTTCACGTACGTCTGACGAT